TCTAACTGTCCTTCTCAGTCTCTTCTTATTCATCTTTTGCGGTTATCTTTTTTTTTTTCCCTTTCCTTTTCTCCTTTCTTTTACTCTCTTTTTCCTAAATGGAAAGAAATGGCGCACCAAAGTAAGTGCCTGGTTGCTCGCCTTGGATACCTTCAAGACACTAACGCCTTATCTCGCTCACTTTGCCTCTCGCCATAGGCGAGTGGGTAGTCTTGCCTCAACAACACTTTAGTACACATACTCTCACTTCCATAGGATTGCCAGTGGAGAAAGATCGGGAATGAAGATGAGCAAGAAAGTACAAGTAAAAAAAGAAATTATGAACTCAGATAAGTAGAACCTTACTCTCTTAGCAAATTCAAGAGTGCTTTCTTTTCCATTATATCGCGGTGAAATAACAGGAAGATACTCAACCTGGTCAGATAATAAAATGTGACTTTAACATTGCCTAGATCAAATGAAATCAAAAGTTTTTGAACAGATGAAGGATACAAAAAACCATAGAAAAAAGAATACCTCCAAGTAATTGTGAAATTGCATAAACATTCTAATCATGAGCTTTGGCAAAGAAACAAATCCCCTAGGCAAAATAGAATTTCACAAACAACACAGTAAGATATAGAGTTGGCACTAAATGAAAAAAATTAAATGAGCAATGGGAACCTACCATGATTGGTCAAAGTGAACATGAGGATAATGAACAACGACAGGTTGGATTGAATAACCAGGAAGAAAAGCACCAAGTTGAAAAGAAATAAGAGACCTTCCATTTGTAGTGGTTCCCTCTGGAAATAACAGAACTCTTGGAAATCTATTGCAAGAAGCCTTTCTCTGTTTTCACATCCTTGAAAGCATAGTTTTCTATCAAAGATCTTAACATGTTGATCCAAGTCGATAATCAAACAAGAAAAAAATGGGAAGGGATACTAGATCATTCATTCACCATGCCCTCGTAATAAACCAAGTGTACAAGTTTTGACCATAGTTAAAAAAATAATAATAATTTAACTAAAACTAGATGCATTATTTATATAAAATATAATGCAACTTCTAAGTAATCAAATAAAGAGGTGCTTCAAAATTTTTAATGAGAAAATGGAAACAAAATGATTCAAAAGTGATTCACCAACCATTGTAATAAAAAGAATACCTGGAAGCTAAGGGCCCTTATTGAAGCACACACCAAACGTTTTTATTTTCAAAAGAAATAAGAATTTTTTTTTTTTATTAAAGCCCCAAGTCAATAAACAATTTCTCATACAACAATGCTCATCAACATGGGTATTATACACAAAGTGATGTATAAGTACATGTAAAAGTTACAGAAACTTTTTACCTTTATTTCACTAATAGCATGCTTCTTTGATGTAGGTGAAAACCTATCTACATATATCACCTGAGAAATGTAAACAATAAATTAATGTACAGCATTTAATAACTAGATGACCTACTTAATTATGAACAATGTTTAAAGATGTTAGGTGCATAAGTCCTAGGCCCGGCCCCTACACCTCACATCAAAGAAGCGAGGCTCCCTTAATGAAGGCATGCCTCAGGCTTCTGGTGTGTGCCTGGCTCCTCAAGCCAAATTTAAATCTTTTTAACTTGAAGAAACTCATTAATATTCTTTAAAAATATTCATTTTCCCCATCAATCTCAAATAAAATCTCTACAGCTTCTCATCTTAAATTTAAATCTTTTGTTGTACATACAGAAGTTATTTATATTTTTCTATTGTCTGCCTCATTTTAAAAAATAAAAATATTTAAAATAAAAACCAACTGTTTTTTTTTTTTTTTTTTTTGCACCTAGCAGTAATAGCCCAGCAACGAGTTTTAACAACACTGATTATGAACATTTACCAGCTATTCAATTAGGTAATGCACCTTTACTTGGAAAGAGTTAATCGAGTGGTAAAGGGCATGAAATGACCTGCATAGCTCTGATAATGGTGCCAACAAAGGGTATGGAATCATGGGATTCAGCTGCGACCATAGTTGGAAATAACTCATAAAAATAAAAGATAGGTTCTATGTAAGATACATGATTTGATACAATAATTGGAGCAATTTCCCTTGGAGCAGGCTTCCCTTTTCTTGTTATCCATTGATATCTGAAGCAGAGGAAGAAAGACAAACAAAAGATAATCACTACATATATAAATTAACATAATGTGCGCTCAACAGAAGAGATAACCAATCAAATAGAACCCGTGCAAGAAATCTTTTTCCACCAAAAATGGCAAATATTTGGAATCATGAACTAGCATTCTAACAAATCGTAAAACCCCTTCTACTTCAGTAAATTTTCCTTTTCCTCTTATGTTTTGCTTGAAAGTATTAATAAGTTCCAAGACACCCAGTAAGATTTTAGGAATTGACGAGAGAATTCTAGTCATCTTTATATCAGAAACTTATTAATCCACTACTCAGTCCAATAACTTGCAATAATCTTTAAACAAAGTTAAGATAACATACAAAATAGCCAACAAATCGAGAGACGATAGTACAGCAGCAATTGAATAAGAACAGGTCGTCGTTAAAAATTCCAACAAACACAGCAAAATTGAACCAGAAGCATGTCTCACCCAAAAGAAAAGAGAATACACCGCCCGCAAAGCCTCGTAACTCCCATGAGCCTACACCTCCACTTCGGCATCGGATTCTCCTTATCCTTCCACCCGTGAAGCGCCGTCTTAGTGGCTAAATATCCAACCAAAAGACATAGCCCAAACAGAACAAGACGTGCAAGCGCAATAGGTATGCAAACCACAATCTTAACCCACTCATAAACCCCACCGATACTCGGCGTGTTATTCCGAAACGGATCGACCGTTGTCGACTCGGGAACGGAGAATCCATCAGAGCCAAGAAAGGCAAAAGGATTGCGACAGTATAATCGAGTATGATCGTGATTGTTCCCGTTCTGATTATTGATCTGCTCCGGTGGATTGCCGCCGTCGTCTTCGATTCTGAGGATCACCTCGACGCCGTCTGAGGGCTCGGCGGGGAGCAGCGGCGAGGTAAGATCGTGGTCCGCCATTGATGGGATGGGAAGAAGACAGGGAAGAAGAAAGAGGCCAATGAATGGATGGGAAAATTCCCCGGTGGAAAATGGCCAATTTCTCTGCGGCGGCTATGAGTCCGCGACCTGTCATTTTCCCGGGAATTTTTTTTTTCATTTATTATTATTCTATAAAAGGAAATCCCCGTTATTAAGAAAACGAATATACTACTGGCACGTGCATGCACGTGGGAATTATTTTTTTAAACTTTCCATAACACGTGATTATGGTACGGAAATTATTTATTTTTATTTACCTAATAATATTGGTTGACTATGATAATATCTTGGAGAGAGAAAAAAAAACATAATAAATTAAATTTTATAAACTTTAAAAAAATATATAATATAAATTTTAAGATTTGTATAATAAATTTTTAAATTTTAAATTTTATGTAATAAATTGATGAGTTAAAAAAATTAAATGTGTCGTATTAAATACAAAATTGAATGTTCATGCACTTTCATGAAAAGTTTAAGATTTCCGTTCTTAATTACGGAGAAAAGTCACAAAAAAAACTTGATAGTGAGATTCTCGAAGCTTTTGGACTTTACCCTGTATAATTCTCTAGGCTGTCAAGGGTGGGACGTTTTCATTTCTTCTATCTCTGAGGACGGTACTTCATATTTTATCACTTATGAAGGGTCCGATTCGTAATTACGTAACATAGAAACAAAAAACATGTTATGCACGAGAGTCGAGTTGGGTGGCAATGCTAGTTTGTAAACTACGGGTTCGATCCATTACAAGATCTAAAGCTTACTTATAAACCTTAGACTCAACTTGTCTTTCAAAGTACCCTTTTTTATGGTCGATTAAAAAAACTAAAAAACGTCACAAAATGTGGGTGACAAGTTTCCCGAGTCACGAAATCTCGCATGTGTTGTAGTGAGCATACACTACATCATCTACAACAAAATAATAACAGTTTGAAACGATCCCGTAAATGACTAAAACGAAACTTTTAAAGGTCTAGTAGTATAATCTACGACAAACGTCTAAAATTCAAGAACATTTTTGTACCATTCAACTCGAATAATCCTCAAACGGAGTCACCAAAGGCTTGTTCGAGAAAAACGCCTCCAAATTCTCGGCCACCAATTGAGTCAATCCCACCATAGATTCAGTTGTTAAGACAGCAACATGTGGCGACAACACTACATTATCAAGATTAAACAGCTCTTTAGGAACTTCAGGTTCATTCTCAAACACATCCAGCCCAGCTCCCCCAAGTTCCCCTTGAATCAAGCGTCGAACCAGTTCCGTCTCGTCGACGATCGCCCCTCGGCCGACGTTGACTATCACTCCATCTCTGCCTAACGCAACCATCACGTCCCTGTCGATCATATGGCGGGTTTCGGCCGTTAACCCACAGCAAATGATGAGGGCTTCACAGTTGGCTGCAAGTTCATGGAGATCGGAATAGAAGGGGTATGGAAGTGTTGGCTTTTTGGTTCTTGAATTGTATGAGATTTTGCAGCCGAAACCTTCTAGCCGTTTGGCTACTTCTGTGCCTATTTTCCCCAATCCAACTATTCCAATTTGCTTGCCGCTTAACTGTCAATCATTTTTAACCTTAACACTCGTCATCAGAATTTAAAATTTAAATAGTTGATTTTGAATACATATATACTACAGAAACACAATTCTCCACAATAGTATGATATTGTCACTTTGAACATAAGCTCTCGTGGTTTTACTTTGAGCTGCCCAAGAAGGCCCTTATTATAAACCCACGATCGTTCCCTAACCGATGTGGGATTTTCATCATCCAACAATATAAACAAAAATATTTTTGAAATTCTGCTAACACAATAGTTACCACGTTTCAAAAATACCTATGAACTTTCAAAAGTAACAATGGTTAATACTCTACTAATATATGAGGGGTAGATTAAACGAGTCAGAAATATTTCAAAAATACCTAGAAATTTTCAAAAGTAACAACTGTAAGTACCCTAATACGTAAGGCGCAGAAAGATAGATTAAACGTGTTTAAAAAATATCTTAATATATGAGGTATAGATAGAAGAGTTAGAGGTGTTTCAAAAATACCTAGGATTTAAAAAAATAACGACTGGTGGTACCCTAGTATACAAGGTGTAGATAGACAGGTTAGACGTGTTTAAAAAATTCCTAAAAATTTTAAAAAATAACACCTGTTAGTACCCTAATACATGAGGTGTAGATAGACAGGTTAGACATGTTTCAAAAATACATGGGAATTTTAAAAAATAACACCAATTAGTACCCTAACACACGAGGTGTAGATAGATGGGTTAGACGTGTTTCAAAAATACCTAGAAATTTTAAAAAATAACACTAGTTAGTACCCTAATACACGACATGTAGATAGACGGATTGGACATGTTTAAAAAATACATAAGAATTTTAAAAAATAACACCATTAGTACCCTAATACACGAGGTGTAGATAGACAAGGTGTAGATAGACAGGTTAGACGTGTTTAAAAAATACTTAGAAATTTTAAAAAATAACACCAGTTAGTACCCTAATACACGAGGGGTAGATAGACGGATTAGACATGTTTAAAAAATACATAGGAATATGAAAAAATAACACCAATTAGTACCCTAACACATGAGGTGTAGATAGACAGGTCCGTGTTTCAAAAATACCTAGAAATTTTAAAAAATAACACCAGTTAGTACCCTAATACACGAGGGGTAGATAGACGGATTAGACATGTTTAAAAAATACATAGGAATATGAAAAAATAACACCAATTAGTACCCTAACACATGAGGTGTAGATAGACAGGTCCGTGTTTCAAAAATACCTAGAAATTTTAAAAAATNACACCAGTTAGTACCCTAATACACGAGGGGTAGATAGACGGATTAGACATAGAAATTTTAAAAAATAACACCAGTTAGTACCCTAATACACGAGGGGTAGATAGACGGATTAGACATGTTTAAAAAATACATAAACACCAGTTAGTACCCTAATACACGAGGGGTAGATAGACGGATTAGACATGTTTAAAAAATACATAGGAATATGAAAAAATAACACCAATTAGTACCCTAACACATGAGGTGTAGATAGACAGGTCAGACGTGTTTCAAAAATACCTAGAAATTTTAAAAAATAACACCAGTTAGTACCCTAGTACACGAGGTGTAGATAGACGGATTAGACATGTTTAAAAAATACATAGGAATATGAAAAAATAACACCAATTAGTACCCTAACACATGAGGTGTAGATAGACAGGTTAGACGTGTTTCAAAAATACCTAGAAATTTTAAAAAATAAGACCCGTTAGTACCCTAATACACGAGGTGTAGATAGATGGATTAGACGTGTTTAAAAAATACCTAAGAGTTTTCAAAAATAACAACGATTAATACCCTAATACACCTGGTGTAGATAGACGGGTATACATGTTTCAAAAATACCTATGAATTTTCAAAACTAACTACGTTACTACTCTTAAAATTGAAAACGGGAGTAATCATCTAAATACTACATTTTGTTTTTAAAAAATATAATGAATTATAAAATTGAAAAAGTATTTTTAGAACTAACAAACTATATATATATTAATTTAAACAAAATTTAAAATGCTTTAGCTTTAAAAATAAATAAATAAATAATAGGACCTTTAATCCGAGGGAAAATTTCCGTTTGGAAGGCCAAATCCCCTGCTTCACGAACCGATCACCAGCCGAAACTTTCCTAAGAACATCGATCAGTAATCCAACCGCTAAATCGGCTACATCTTGAGTGAACAAGTTTCCAGCATAGGCGATAGCGATTTCACGGCGGCGTAATTCCGGCAAGTCGAGGTGGTCGAGGCCAGAGCTGGTAGTGACGACGAGCTTGAGGGCGGGGAGGCAGTCGAGAATGGCGGAGGTGAGTTGGATGCCGCCGCCGGGGATGAGCAAGGCTCGGGCGGATTGGGCGAAAGAAGAGAGGAATTGGAGTAAAGGAAGGTCGGAATTGGATGGTTTAAGGAATTGAAATCTGTTGGAGAATTGGGATTCCAGAGAGGGTAAGACCCATGGAAACCCTAGAACCAGAACTTCGGGAAGGTCGCCGGAATGGCCTCCGGATGCCATTCAATTTTACAAAAAAATTATGCGGATAATTGGAAATGGACAAAATATGGAAAATTAAATTTGTGGGCACAATTTCATCCATGCAATACAAAAATAATATATATATATATATATTGTTAAATTGAAAAGATTAAAAAATAAAATTAAAATTCTTATTGTATATATATGGATATAATTTATATATTTACCGAACTAATCTGAGACTTTCATCATCCAACACCTTCCCTGGTATGAAAAGGTCTCACACCAATGTAGAGACTATTATTTGATTATAAACTCATAACCATTCCTTAAATAGCCGATGTGAGACATTTATCCTCCTAACATATATAAGGCTGGTGGCTCGTGCTTTAGTCCATTTTATTTATTTATTATTATTATTTTATTTAGTATATTTTTAAACTTTTAAATTTTAAAATATTATTGAACAAATTTTTGTATTCTATAATTATTTTTTTTAATGGTAATGGTGTTTTGGAAAAATCATTTGAAATAATTTAAATTAAGAATATTAATGAAATAAACTAAATATATTTTAAATTATTTTGTTTAAAAATAAATAAAATGTGGAATCCCTAATACATTTTTCTCACTTCCTCCACCATTCTTCACGCCGTCTCATCCTTCGTTGCAGGTTTGCAGGTGTCGCCGCTATCTCCTCCTCCATTTCAGTGCTGCCGCCGCAGCCTCCTCCTAGTGGCTTTAATTTGCACTGTCTACTCTCTTGTTGTCACTGGTATTCTCCCGAGTTACATCTATGCTTTTCGTCTCTCCTGATGAACACAAATTAGAACTTGTCTAATGAAAGAATGGAGGATTTTTTTTTGGTTTTTTCTCTTCTTAATAGCAATAGCGAGTAGTTGTGAATAGCAACGAACAAAACCTCGCGGCAATTTGGGTTTTCTTTTTGAACTGCCTTTTGCTTTGTTCCATATATCTCAGTCGAGACTATCTGTATATTTTTTTGATCTTGCTGAATAGATTTGTTGCAGATCTGTCAATCGAGGCTATCTGTATATTTCTTTGATATCTGCTGAAAATTGACATGTTGATTTTTTCAGCATCTCTTCTTTATTTATCTGAGAATTGGTCGAAATAATCTATCATTCAATTCTGTTCTAATTCCTAACTTGTAAGAGTTATTTGGATTGACCGAAGAACTTCAACCATTTGTATATTTGTAGATTGTAGTTGGATAGAAGACAACAAGTTTTTCTTTTTTTTCTTTTTTTATTTTTTAGATTGAAATTCTCTCCCTCTTGTTAATCTATACGATCTCGCAACTCTAGACTGGGGAGTTCTTCCCTTAACTCCGCCAAAGGTGCATGGAAAACCATTCTGAATTTCTGCTCCCTCATATATGATAGATTGACATACATAATTGGGGATGGAGCAAACTCTTCCTTTTGGAAAGATAACTGGCCGAGGGAAGAAAATTTCCTTTCATTTTTTATCTCTCTCTCAGTGAAGAAGGGGCAGTTTAAGATATGTGGCATGCTGAATGATGGAACCTTGGGCTAAGAAGAAACCAAATAGATGTTGAGATTGAGGAGTATGCATCCTTGCTGCAAAGTTTAGTTTCGGTCACTCTATCTCAAAGGATTAGCTAATGCATTTGGAAGTTGTAGCCAAATTGAACATTTACCATTAGCTCCCTTTTGCATGATCTTTCTCCTACAAGTAGCAATGCTTCACCACAACTTTATTGAAACCGAGCTTTCATTGATAAAAATGAAAGAATAACAAGCTTTTCATTTGAGAAACTGAGCTTAGGGTAGTGATATGGAAAGATCGACCCTAAGAAACCTGGAAACTCTCCTACAAGGTCATCAACACGAATGACAAGTTTCAAAGAAGGATACCTCACTGGAATCTATCTCCACAGTGGTGTACTACTTGCAAACAGAGTACACAAACACAACCTCACCTCCTGATTAATTGTGAATTTGCAAAGGCATTCTGGAACCATTTATTATTATCTTTCAATGGGCAAAACAACGCTGCCAGATGATCTTAAGCTACTTCTCTCGCTTACTTTAGGAGGTCATCCCTTCAAAATAGATAAGATGCATCTTTGGTAGAATTTTATTAAAGCATATTTCTGGAACATTTGGGTCAATTTTCCAGGATAAGGAATACTCCTTTAGTTGGTTTTTGATGCTATAGTTAACAGGGTTGTGACTTGGTGAAGATGTTCTCTTTCTCATCACGACATCGCAATCTCCCTTCTTTTCAATTGGAGAGGTCTTTTGTAAATCTCCCTATAGAGGGTCTCTGCCTCTTTTGTAATTTCATGTATCATTGAATCTTTTTTCTTATAATTTTTTTTTAAAAATAATGCAATAAACAATGTTACTTCGAGTTTACTGGAAATAAGAGCTTGTCTATAGACTCTGCACTCATGTACTTGATTTAAAAAGTTAAAGATCCATTTTAAGCACTTTTATGTAAATTATAGATATAGATATAGATGTAGATACATATCATTATTATTGTTGTTGTTGCTATTATTTTTTACTTGCTCACACATCTATATTCTTGTATTAGATGACAACTCCAGAATTGTTTGCTCAAGATGAAGATGTGACTCATGACAAAATGCAGATGCAAAGGTCAGAAAAGACTAAGTGGCCTGATGGTCCAGATAAAAAGAATGACGGAGAGAAGAAGAAAGAGAAGAGGAAGAAAGAACATAAAGCCCATATGAACGAGCAGAAAGAAGAGACAGAATCTGAGACAGAACTGTGGGCAAAGAAAGAAGAAATAGAAACCGAGACAGAAACTTGCGTAAAGAAAGACAAGGGAATAGAAAAGCAAAAGAAGAAAAAAGCTAAGTTGTCTGAGGGCATTGATGGAGATAATTGTGAAAGAGGGCCAGATGAAGGGAAGGAGAAGAAGAAAAAGAAACAAAAAACTGAGGATTCTAGAGACAATTCTTTATATATTAAGAAGGAGAAGAAGAAGAAGAAAACTAAGTATGTTGAGGGTGGATCACAAGAAAATGTTCATGAAGGAGGAGATGGATTGACAGAGAACGAAGACATTGGTGATCCCTCTGAAGGACTTTCTCCCAAGGGATCATCTAATTATGAAAGAGGGTCAGATGGAGGGAAGGAGAAGATGAAAAAGAAAAAGAAACAAAAAACTGAGGATTCTAAAGTAAGTTCTTCACACATTAAGGAGGAGAAAAAGAGGAAGAAAACCAAGTATGATGAAGGTAGATCACAAGAAAAGGTTCATGGAGGAGGAACAGGATTGACAGAGAACGAGGACATTGGTGGTCCTTCTGAAAGACTTTCTCCCAAGGGATCATCTAATTGTAAACGAGGGCCAGATGGAGGGAAGGAGAAGAAGAAAAAGAAACAAAAAAATGAGGATTCTAGAGACAATTCTTTATCTATTAAGAAGGAGAAGAAGAATAAGAAAACTAAGAATGTTGAAGGTGTATCACAAGAAAAGGTTCGTGAAGGAGGAGCAGGATTGACAGTGAACGAGGACGTTGTTGGTCCTTCTGAAAGACCTTCTCCCAAGGGATCATCTAAGAAAGTCAGATTTTCAGAAGATGTTGAGATTTTTCCAATAGCTGATGGCAAAAGTAGAAAAAAAACTAAGCAAGAAGATGATGGCAAAAGTAGAAGAAGTACTAAGCAAGAAGATGATGGTTTAATTAGAGGCAAGCGTTTTTCCAAAGAAGAAGATGAGATA